AGGAAGGGACGTTGCCATTGCACCCACCTTTGCCAGGGCAGCCAGGCACCTCTGCCGAGCACCTCCAGCCTCTCCTCCTCCTCCCGATTTCCCTGCATTCCCGCGGGGAACGGCGCTCCCACCTCCTCAGCACCAGCCACATGTGCCAACACAAGGCACAGACACCTCGCCCGGCCCCCGCCGTGAGATGCAGCGTTTTCCTGATGCTTAATAAACATCTGCCCGGCGTCCTGGGCTGAGAGCAGCAGGGGGGGGTTTTGTCTGGGACCTGGGACCGGTTTGTTAACAAGCTGGCCCCAACCGATCTGCCCAGGAACACCAAGTCCTGGAGGAGTGTGAGCCTGTGACCTCGCAGGAAGGCAGGAGATAAGGGAGAGGAGGGAGGCTGGGGGTGAGTTGCTGGTGCCAAGTGTGAGCAAAGGAGGAGATCAAAGGGAAAGGTCTGAAATGGAGTGAAATTCTTCAAAGACAAGAAACAGGACCAGGCAGCCCAGGGTAGAGGGGGGGTGGGAGGGCTGGTGGCTTCTCACTGCTGCTCTCACCAGGCAGATAACACACCAGCTTTCCAGATGGTTGGTTAATTGCAGTCTCTAATAGGTATAAATCTAACTAACTGGGTGGATCGATGAGCTCTTTGGGATTGGAACAACAGCAGCAGAGACAAACGTGTCTGCAGCCTAAATGGCCATTGTCACAGAAAGCCCCTCTTGAGAGCCCAGTGGCTGGTGCATCTCACCTGGGTGTCCCCAGAGATGGGAGAAGGGGCTCTCAGGGAGCAGGGAAACAGGAGTAATAGAAAAGCTACACAAAGTGCCAGACTTTCTGCATTAGGGCACTGATGGCCAAAGTCTGGATATGAAGCTGTAATTAACCATGTCAGGTTCAGGGCACTGCAGCCAAACCTTTCTCTGCTGGGGCTGGGTAACTTCAGCAGCTCAGACCCACAAGCTTCTTTTTTCCAGGCTCAAAGGCCTGGGAGCAGGAGAAGGCACAAGGTGTGGGTGCCCCCATGTCCTACCCTGTCCCACCAACCAACAAGGTCTGCTCCATCCTGGATTGTCTGATGTGGAACCACGTGTGGGCCAGGTAATAACAGATCATCTGCTGTCAGAGCGTGGAAACTGAGGCAGGAACAGCCACAATCACAGTGAGATGAGCATCAGGGTGCCCAGAAAAGGTGCCCAGTGCTGGAGCAGGGTGCCCCTGGAGCAGGCAGGTGTGCAAGGTGCTAACAAAGGGAGTTTTGCTGCTGGGAACTCAATTCCCGATGGAAACAGGCACCTCCTGGGGAAGGTGGTGCTGCCTGGGGTGGCAAAAGGGTTTGTTGTGGGGTTTTTGCTGGGAAGGGGCGAGGGAAAGGGCAGGGGGAGACAGTGGGGGGAGAACAGGGAGATCCAAGAACCGGAGCAAAAGAGCAGGGAAGAGTCGATGGAAGAGGGAGAATCGGAGAGCAAGGAAAAGAATCGGGAGCAGAGGAGACAGAAGAGAGGTTTTCCAGACGCCAGGGTCCTGCCCACGGGTCCCAGCGGTGCTTACTGCTCAGCGCCGTCCCGCGGGGTGACACGGCCCGTCCCGGCTCCGGGATCCGGCACCTGCGAAATCCGGAGTCAGCGCGGAGGAGCCGAGAGCCCGTCCCGCCGGGCGGGGTC